TTTTTTTTTTCAGTTTCACCATGTTGCCCAGGTTGGTCTTGGACTCTGGGCTCTAGTGATCTGCCTTCTTTGGCCTCCCAATATACTGGGATTACAGGCATGAGCCACTGTGCCTGGCTGGACTCCCTCATTTTCAATAAGAGCCTTGGAAGTGGGAGCATGCTAGTGTGGACACAATTTCTCCGCTTCCATTGTAGTCTTTGGTCCCAGTGCCTTTCCCCGTATGGGGATACTGAAGGTCTCTCTTGTATCATCCTCACAAATTGGGGCAGGTGCCCAGGGATTTATATGAATTGTATAGAAACCTACCCATCTGCTTGGCCAGGACTACCTCCCCCGGGAAGTTGGCAATAACCGGTGACTTTCCCTCCGTTCTCTCCCCGCTCGGTTGCTCAGAAGCACCACTGGATTTGTTGATCCTCCTTCCCCCATCTAGGAATTCTCTCCTCCCTGGCCTGCCTCTGGACTCTGCCTCTGTGATTACCCCTCTCTCTCCCTTGTTGCCTCCTCTGTTCCCTCCAAAACTCTAAGTCTTAGTCCTTCCTCTTCTCATGCAAGTCCCTTTCTTGACGGCCCTATCCATTCTGGCAGCTTCAGCATCCTCTCCACGTGGGTGAACCCAAATATCATCCTTCTTCCTGACCTTGCCGCCAAGCACTGGTATCTCATCCCCAACTGCCAGCAGGATAAAGTCAAAGTCCTGAGCTAAATCTTCAAGTCTCCTGCCATCTTCCCTCCTCTTGCAAACCTAGCTGAGATGGGGACTGCGGCTGCCCAGGCTGCATGAGGGTGGGGACCGGAACAGCCAGTGGTCATGGTTCCAGTACATTCCTGCCTTGTCTGGCTGGCCATTGTGTCTCCTGAAGGAGGTCCACATACAGGACACAGTCAGGTTGGAAACCACACATCTGGGAACAAAAGAGGGTGAAAGATACATCTGAAGGCTGTCAAGGACAGAGAACGGAGAGAATGTATTCCCAGGTACGGAGCTCAGGGAGCATGGCTTGATGGGACTCCTGGACCCTCTGGCCAAGACCTTTCCCTTTTGCCAGGCTGGACTGCTCGCCACTCCACTTCGCTATCTGTTCACTTGTTATATCCCTGTCTCCCCTTCCAAACTTGAAGCTCCATTAAGATAGGAAGGGCTATCTGTCCTGCTCTCTGGCCACTCCAGGCATTCAATGAGTATCTGCTGAATGAATAAATAGAACATGCTCTGTCCCTTTCCCAACTTTTTGCCTGTGTTTTTGTTTTTTTTTTTTGAGATGGAGTCTCGCTCTGTCGCCAGGCTGGAGTGCAGTGGCATGATCTCAGCTCACTGTAACCTCCACCTCCTAGGTTCAAGTGATTCTCCTGCCTCAGCCTGTAGCTGGGACTACAGGCACTCTACCACGCTGGCTAATTTTTTTTTTTTTTAGTAGAGATGGGGTTTCACCCTGTTGGCCAGGATGGTCTTGATCTCTTGACCTTGTGATCTGCCCACCTCGGCCTCCCAAAGTACTGGGATTACAGTCCTGAGCCACTGCACCCGCCTGGCCTATGCCTTTATTCTCAGTTCTTCCCTTGAGATGCTCTGCACCCTCTCTTCTCTCTCTTTCCACATGTCAAAATCCTTCCCATCCTTCAGACCCATTCAAATGACCCTTCATCGTGAAGCCTTCCCTCACCCCTCGGCTTGGAGCCTCCTTCTCCCTGCTAACTCCCCATGGCACCTGACTTGCCTTTATTAGATCACTTACACCTTATGCTTTGGATTCTTATTATTTGTGTACCCACCTCTGTCCCCCTAATAGAGCACCAAGATTTAGCCTTTGCTCTCCTCTGGGCCTCTGCCTCTCGCTGATGACTCCCTCTCTCCCCCAGCAGCACAGATGTTGGCCACAGACAGCAGACCCAGGATCGCCCCATGCCTTTCTACTTCCTTGGCACAAGGAAGCACCGCTGCTTGAGGGCAGGGGCAGGGTCATCGGTGTATTCTCTCTTCCCTCTTCCCTCGCCCAGCACTTTCTACACAGTAGGTGCTCTTTAAGTACTCAGTATAGGAAGGCAAGAGTACAGATTGCATTCGGCAACTTTTTACCCCAGATGCTGCTTCCTTGGAGCCCAAAGCAGCCTCCCTGAGTCTCCTTTTCCCAGGCTGGGAGCTCACTCATGCAGACTGGGCCACCTCCAAGGTCTTCCTCCTTCCTCCCCACTCTGTCACTGCTAAAACTTTGCTTAAATCGGGTCCCAACCCAGCACCATTTCAGACATTTGCATGGCCTGACCACAGCCAGTAGGTTGGGGGAGGCTGAGCTGCAGGGATTTTTCTGGTCTCACAAGATCTCTTGGCTAGAGCCCAGGAGAACAAAAGTTGCCTGATGAAGGGGCAGGGCTCCAGGGTTGGGAGCATCACGGCGGGGGTGGGGTGGGGGGGGTGGGGGGTGCTGTATTTCCTGCGGTGCTGAGGAAGTAGAAAAGCATGGGGGTGAACCTGAGTCTGCTTCCTTTAGCCACCATCTGTGCTGATGGAGGCGACCGCAGGGTGTCTGGGGGTGGGGGTAGAAAGTGGGGGCTAGATGAGTCATCAGGGAGGGGCAGAGGCCCAGAGGAGAGCAAAGGCTAAATCTTCCCCAAACCCTTCCTGTTCAGGCTGCCAGAGATGGAGTGGCAGTTTTTTTGTTTTGTTTTGTTTTGAGACACAGTCTCACTCTTGTTGCCCAGGCTGGAGTGCAGAGGCACAATCTTGGCTCACTGCAACCTCTGCCTCCCGGGTTCAAGCTATTCTCCTGCTTCAGCCTCCTCAGTAGCTACAGGTGCCCAACACTACGCCCAGCTAATTTTTATACTTTTAGTAGAGATGGGGTTTCACCATACTGGCCAGGCTGATCTCGAACTTGTGGCTTCAGGTGATCCACCTGCCTCGGCCTCCCAAAGTGCAGGGATTATAGGAGTGGCAGCTTTTCCAGCAGCTCTAACACCGGCATTTCAGGGGTTTTTACCCCTGAGCTAGACCCCACAACCCTACTTTGCTCTGAGGAAATCCTCACTAGGGTGCCAACCTCTTGCTAAGGGCAGCAGTAGATACCCCTGGAAATGTCTAGGGGAGGGGGTTGTCTTAGGAAGGAGCATTGTGGAGCTCAGGGCTCAGGCTAGCGGTGGGGCCAGTGGTGCGTGGAAGGTGAGGGAGGAGCCCCTGCCCCCGAAGGGGAGTGGAGCTGCTGAGAGGAGCTGCATCTTGAAGGAGGTGGGCCCAGGTGGGGCTGCTCGGCCTTAGCTGGCTAGAATTGGTGGGGCCTGGGAAGGCGGGAGCTGGGAGGGTTAGTTACCCCGTTGACATTCAACACAGAAAAATCCCTCAACCGGAAACTATAAAAGAATCATCTGTAGTAGCCAGCAAGAGGCACTAACTAGTGGTTTCAAGAGGAACTCAACTAGCAGAGCTTGCTAGAACTTACTATGAGAACCTTGGTAGAGCTGCTAGAAACCGCAGAGAATTAAAGGCAATTACACAGGCTGGGCCAGTGGCTCATGCCTGTAATCCCAGCACTTTGGGAGGCTGAGGCAGGTGGATCACCTGAGGTCAGGAGTTTGAGACCAGCCTGGCCAACATGGTGAAACCCCATCTCTATTAAAAACACAAAAATTAGCTGGGTGTGGTGGTGCATGCCTGTAATCCCAGCTACTCGGGAGACTGAGGCAGAAGAATCGCTTGAATATGGGAGGCGGAAGTTGCCACTGCACTCCAGCCTGGGCAACAGATCAAAACTTCATCACAAACAAAGACAATTACACAATGAAACGATTTAACTATTTAGGCAGCAGACTGAGGTAGGAGCTCAGAGCCAGAGCCAGCCCTCCTGGGATGAAATTCCAGTTCTTACTCGAGTGATCCTGGGCACCTTAAGCTCATTTTTCTCTTCTAAAAAAATGGGGTTAATCATCAGACCTATTTTATTAAGTTATCATGAGGATTAAATGAGTTAATATAGGTAGAGAAATTAGAACACTGCCTGGCACCATAGCAAGCACAGTATAAGCATATACTGCTATTATTATCATTACTATTATTTAGAATTGACATCTACAGCCCAGACCCCTGGCAGATGTACTTAGATTCTTGCTACTCAAAAGTTTGGTCCACTGACCAAAAGCATATCAGTATCGCCCGGGAGCTTGTTTAAACTGTGGAATCTCAGACTCAGTCCTGGCTGCACTGAGTCTGAACCTGTACTTAACAAGGACCTCGGTGAATCGAGTCCACATTAAAGTCTGTGAAGCACCTGGAGGCCACACCAGGCAGAGATTGGGCTACTTTAAAAAGGAGGCCAACAAGACTTAGGCTGCTTTGCTGTGGGGTCCCCACTGGCCTGGAAAGACCCCAGCGCGGCATTTCACCTGGGAACACTGCAGCTTCTAGCCTGGCCGGGACCCTACACGTCAGTGTGCTGGGACAGCCTGGTGCCCAGTGCCAAGGCAGGGGCGCGGTGGCTCAGGCCACCCCCCCAGAGCCCGAGAGATCCAGCGAGGTCCAGCGGCGGCTTGCTGGAGTACCAGGTGCTCAGGAGACGGTCCACCTGCTCCCGGCTGGAGATTGCGCGCAGATGGGCCTTCCCGCTGCCACTGTCCAGGTCTTCTGGGGGCTCAGGCACTGTGCAGGGCTCAGGGCTCCCGCCTGCAGGGTGGCGGCGCAGCCCCCGCGCCTGCAGCTCATTCTGCATGCTGGCGAAGAAGTGCAGCACGCAGCGGTGCGCGAAGTCCCGCGCATGCTCACAGCAGGTCTCGTCGAAGAGCTTCTGCTCCAGGTCGACGTAGTTGCTCCAGTATCTGCGCTGCAGGAAGACTGTCTGGTCGAAGAAGGGCCTCAGGCAGCGGGCCAGGAAGGCCAAGATGATCAGCAACAGAGTGACACTCCAGCCAATGGCCTGCAGGGTAGGGAGGCGCGAGGTTAGGTGTGGGTGGGGCCTAACCCTAAAAATATCTATTTATGAATGAGTGTATGAATGTTGCATATTTGACCATGTCTACATAATAATATTCTGCATTTGCCAATGGATTCAAATACTCCTTAGAGAATTTGACAGCAGCATATCACTCCAAACATCGTAGTTCATTAATCAGAGTATTGGATGAAATGGGAGCAAATAATGGGCACAAAGAAAATTAATGTGATCATCAGATTACATGTCCTTTTTTGTATCCCTGTAACCTTGTAAATTGAATTAACTCTTAGAGCATCTGCTACCTGAGGAATTGTCCTGTATAGTGTGGCAAAGATATTCCAAAGTCCCTCCATTTACATTTCCCATCCATCTTTCCTCAAATCTATCTACTTTCCTGTTCAGTCATTGTCCTGCCAACCATCCTCCATCCATCCATCTATCCTCCCTTCCATTCATTCTCTCATCCTTTCATCCATTCACCTGTTCAACCATCTCCCCACCCATCCAATCATCCATCCTCTTGTCTGACTGTAAATCTGTCATCTTCCCATCCATTCAGCCTCCTAACTATCCTTCCATCTGTCCTTCATCCATCCTTCTCTTCTCCCAACCATTCATGCTGCCATATGCTCCTCCTTCCTTCCCTTGATCTATCTTCGCATCCACCCCCTCATCCAACCATTCATCATCCATCTTCTCATAGTTTTATTTATTTATTTTATTTTTTGAGATGGAGTCTGGCTCTGTTGCCCAGGCTGGAGTGCAATGGTGTGATTCGGCTCACTGTAACCTCCGCCTCCTAGGTTCAAGCGATTCTCCTGCCTCAGACTCCTGAGTAGCTGGGACTACAGGTGCATGCCACCATGCTCAACACATTTTTGTATTTTCAGTAAAGATGAGGTTTTACCATGTTGGCCAGGCTGGTCTTGAATTCCTGACCTCATGTGATTCACCCACCTCAGCCTCCTAAAGTGCTGGAATTATAGGCATGAGCCACCATGTTAGGTCCCTGTCATCTTTTTTATCCAGTCCCTTGTCATCCTTGTGGGTGCTTATCTGTCTATCTTCTCATCTAGGCATCCACTGTGTGCTATATTTTGTGGGAGGCCCTGTGCTAGGAACTGGGGGCTCAGTCTTTGCTCTCACAGAGCTCATACCTTAGTGGAGGAAATGGATAAATAGGTGATGACTGGGTATGTGTCATAGAGAAGGAGTCCAGAGGAGGGACACCCAAGTTGACCTTGAGGGCCAAGACTGACGGATGAATGACAGTGACACACAATATGAACAGAGGACAGTGTTCCAAGCCAGGAGTGAGAACAAACTGGAAGCAGTTCTCTAAAGCTGGAGCCCACACCCGACAGACTCCTCTTCCTCCTCTCCACCTTCCAAAGCCATAGTCTCTTCAAGGCCTAGTTTGAGACCTGGGCACTTGTGTGGACCTGGAGCAGGGAAGTCACGCCGCTAAACCACAGGGACATATTTGAATCCTTATCATTTACAGAAGTGATTTCCATGATTTATAAAGCTCTCTCATTTGGCATTTCACAGGACTCACCCCCATCAGCAAATTTAAGGTGAGTAAAACCAAACAACTTGCTAAACTTTACATGACTGGTAACTTACAGCTAAGTCAGGATTCAAACCCTGGTCTCACTGCAAATTCCATGCTCATTCCACTGAATTAGGGAAAGCCTAGAGTGTTGAAGCCTGCAGGGATTATCAAGATGGGGGAGACCAAGCTTCCCTATATTTTGCATGAGAAACAGGTTCAGAGGGGTAGTCCCGTGGCCAAGGTCACAGTCTGAGCCGGAATCAAGAGCATCCTGCACCCTGGTCCTCCCTCCACTGCACTGTTGGCCAGCCCATGAGCCTGTCAGACTCCCCAAGGGGCAGGGGCTGTGTCTTTATTATCTATAGCCCTGGTGGTGCTCCGCGTGTAGTGGGTTCACATGCATACTTTTTGGTGGACACAGCCCAGTGCTGGGGCTCTGGGAGCAGTGGTGGTGGAATCTGGAGTCTGGGCTGGGAGTAGAGCTGGGGTTTGTCCCCCAGGATAATAGAGTTGGTGCCTTTTGGGAAGACTGGCATCTGGAAAGGACCTACATTGTTGGAAGGTGGTTAAGAGGAATAATGAAATTTCATCAGATCCCTGCTCTGCCTCTTATAAGCTGTGTGACTTTGGCCTTATGAACTAAATTCTCAGAGCCTGCTTCCTCACCTGGAGAATGGGATGATAATTTTTTCCCCAAATTAAATGAAATAGTACATATAAAATGCTCACTACATTGCCTGGCACACAAATGCTTAACAAGTGGAGATTAGTATTATTTCTCACGGGTGGGAAGAAGGTGTGCAGTGCCTCCTGGGGATGGGCTGAACCCATCATCTGTCATTCTTCATCACCCGCAACCCCACCCCAGAACCAATGCAGGGGATTGGTGAGGGTGCAAGGGCGAGGGGAGGATCACCCCAGTTACCTGTGACAGGCACCGCAGGTAACGAGACACCGCCTTCCTAGCAGGGCTATCCCTGACCAGCTCGTCTTCCTTGCAGGGAACCTTGGCCAGGAAGAGCTGTACCTGACTGGGGGTCATGTTGGCAAAATCCAGAAACTTCTCAGGGTCCACAGAGCTGCTGAAGGCACACACAAAGCACTTCCCATCAAGGAGGGCCAGCAGGATCCAGACCAGGGGGGCGGCCAGCGCCCTCTGCAGCACAGAGGAGCACATGTACCTGGGAGCGGAGGAAGGAGGGTGTCACAGGGGGCAGCCCGAATTCAGCTGCAGCAGGGCGGCTACAGGGGGAATGCAAGGATGGACTGCTGGGAAGTCCCAGGTGGGGTTACATCAGGCTGCAGCTCCCAGTGTAGAGTTCTCAGCAACCGAAGGCAGGGAGGAAGGAGGGCTGGGGGCCCTGGGATCCCCAGGGCTGTTGCACTGAGGAGTTGGTATTCCTCCTGTCCTAGGCCTTGCAGCAGACACTGCTGGTGCCCTGTCCATGCCTGAGGCATCTGTGGCTTTGGTGGCTTGTTCTATTCACCTCCTACCTCAAGCACCTGCATTGTTCTGCCCCCAGGGCTTTGGAGGATTTTTTGCTCCAGAGAGGGATAGGCTGAAAGCATTCAAAAGTTACCTCCCAAATCAATCTCCAACCCCAGACAGACAAGGCCTTGTGGATAAATATCCCAGTTTCTTAACTCCTCAGTGGGACAATTCTGAGGTGTGTTCTATGCATGCTCTGAGGGGGACCCCTGAGGGATTGAGCCCCAGTTGCCCACTCATTATCACATTCTTTCCAGAGCCTGCTTTTGGAGGAGAGCCTAAGCTAAGACAGCTCTGCCGGTAACCCTCCAAAGGCAGCACCTCTAACACCTCTGCCCACAAGGCATCCCAGGAGCCCACCCTCCGACTGGCCTCAGGCATATTTTTTGACCAACTCTGCCCCTGCCTGTAGTGACCTTGATGGGGTGCTGGCCACAGGACAGGAGCCCAGTGGAGCTGTGCCCACTGGACCCCAGAGGAAAAGCCAAGGACACACCCAGTGCCTGTGACCCACCCTGCACAGCTGAATTGCAGGGAGATGTTCCCCAGAACACGGAACAGAGGCTCAGGGTGCACCGGGTACAGATGTTGTTTCTGCCTTGGATTGTTCACAAAACCTCTAATGGTGGCCAGGCGTCGTGCCTCACACCTGTAATCCCAGAACTTTGGGAGGCCAAGGCAGGTAATCACCTGAGGTCATGAGTTCGAAATCATCTTGGCCAATATGATGAAACACTTGCTCTACTAAAAATACAAAAATTACCCAGGCATGGTGGCAGGCACCTGCAATCCCAGCTACTCAGGAGGCTGAGGCAGGAGAATTGCTTGAACCCAGGAGGCGGAGGTTGCAGTGAGCTGAAATCACACCACCGCACTCAAGTCTGGTTGACAGAGCAAGACTCTATCTCAAAAAACAAACAAACAAAACAAACAAAAATCCAATGGTGTGTGCCAGGTGTGTGCATGACCTACCCACCAGTGTGAGCTATAAATATGTTCTAGGCAG